TGGTCACAATGTGATATTTTCCTACCATTGTGCTTAACAAAATTAACTCTTTACTCAAAATTTATATAACAAAAATAATATCCCATCAACAAAAAGGGAGATCCAAAGAATTACCTGTTCTCTTCAGAATCAGGGTGTATCGAATGGAATTTCCCAGGAAAAGCCAGCCCTGTCCACATGCAAAGCCCAAAACCCAAGAGCAACTCCACTACAACCTGCAGGAAAAAAAACCAAAAATAATTTAAAATTTTCAAAAAAATCTAGAATCAAACAATGAAGGAGAATAACAAGCAATCGGTATTTTTTGTAATTACATTGAGAGGAGGGCCCGAGAACTCTTCTTCCATGATCTTGAGCATCCCTCTATCTGAAGAAAAAAAAATCTTTGAGGGTTTAAACGAGAAAGGAGAAGAAAACCCTAATTTCAAAAGATTCCAAAAATTGGATCTTTAGCTTACACTGGATCGTAGCATAGGCTGCGTGAGCGAGTAGAACACCGCCGATCAAACCCAGAACAAGTCCAAGGCCCATCTCTCCTCGATCAAGTGACGTCGATCTCTGCTCTTTGATTCGGCGATCAAATCTAGAGAGAGAGAGAGAGAGAGAGGACTAGAGCGTTGAAGCGGGTTCGGATCCTAAATATTTACATTCGGATATTCGCTTCTATTTTAGATATTTTTCCGGTCGACTGCTACCTGCAGGCCTAAAGACATGGGCCCTCGCATTAGGTTAATTTCGCAAACCCCTCCAGAACTCTTGAAGGTGTTGCACATAAGTGCCCTGAACTTTGTTTATCTCGTATAACCCTCTGAACTATGAGGTGTCTCACAAAGCCACTCCGAACTTTAGTTTATCTCACATAAGGTTATACCTGTAATTTGTAAATAACTAAAAAATTCGAACTTTAGGGAGAGGAGTATGTTGCTTTTAAATGACCGGTGATAGAACTTTTGAAATGTTTCGCTCAGAAGCATTTTAGTTATGTAGGAGAGTTTGGTGAGATGAGGTAAAGTTCAGGAGGAGTTTGTAAGACACCCTATATAGTTCAAAATGGTTATGTGAGATAAATTAAGTTTAGGGGAGTTACGTAGTTGCAGAGAATTAGAGAAAATGTAGTTTCAGAATATTCCCCTAAACCTTCGCAAAGTTCCATCTAAACTTTGAGAAAAAAATCCTAGAGTTGAGGAAGAAAATTTGAGGGAGTTAGTTGTACGATGAAAGGATGTATTCAATTTGTGACATTTACCCCTTCTAATCAGTATAAAAGCTATAAACGTGGAATTTAGTTTTTTAAAAAAATTTAAATAATGAAACACAGAGGATTTCATTTTATACCAAAAGCATTTTATCGTCAACAAGCCTGAAAAGAAAATGGCTTGCTAAAACTGTAGGTCAAATCCGAAGGATCTCAAATTGAAACTTCATATTTGGAAAAGCCCATCTTATCCTTTTGAAGGTCATGAAAACTTTTGAGAAGGAACAAAGTTCCAAATATGAAGCTACTAAATCAAAAATAAAATTTAAATAATTAATAATAAACAACACAGTTACGCAACGCAATTTTTTACAATGCAAATTGAGAAAAATGGAGCCGAAGAAGTAAAAGCACATCCAGAGATCTCAGCAAATCCCAAGCAGCTTCATTTGGAGAATATTTAGCCTTATATACAACACTTGTTTTCCCATAGTTTACAGATATTCCACCAAAACAAACAAACCATAGTTACATTACAAACGAGACCAATCATCGAAAATATAGCCCCCAAAAAAATTCAAATAAAACTTTCGAAAATATTAAAGCAACACCAACTAGCTGCAGATTTTAAGATAACCATCCTCTGTTCCCACGAGAAACAACCGCGAAAAAGGGAGCACATCGATGGTAGATATAACCGAGAGGTTCCTTGTACCCTTATCAGCCGTATACAAATTCTGAAGTGAAAGCTGCCTCTGCCCTCCCTACAGTAATTTCAGAATATAACAATGCATTTAGTAAAGTTTCGATACAAGCTTTAGCATCTGAATGTCAGAGATATTTAAATCTTAAGAGGATTTATACATACTTCATTTGTGCACCGAGAAAGGGAAGTTAGTGCAATCTTATTTCTGGAGACCGAGATCACATCCTGACCCCAAATCGAGAAGCTGGAGATGCCATCTTGATGGCCTCTAAAAACATTTGACTGAGATCCCAGATTCCTGTGACAAGGGGGCATTATTAGCATTCAATGCTCCATTTGTTAAGCAGAAGTTTTGTAAAAAACTTCTCATGATTTTATGAGCTCTGTATCCGTAGAGTAAGCTATGAATACTGAAGAATAAGAAAAATGTCACGAGATGGAGATTAATGACGAGAAGTATATAATGGCATTACATATCAGGAAATAAGAACACAGAGTTGATTGGAAAAGGGCCTTGTTTATAAAGAACAAACCATCATCATGTAGCATTACAGAAAAAAGAAACACGCATTAAGAGATGTAATGGGCAAAATATAGTACCTCCTGAGGTCCCACACTCGCAGAGTCTTATCAAGGGAGCTGGAGACGAGCAGATTATCCTCAGGTGCAGCCAACTGTATTCATTCAAAAATTAACAAAAAGAAAGACCCTAACACAAAAACGATTAATTGCACACCCCATGTAGTATTGTTGTTTTGAACTTACTACCCCTATAGTTTCACTGTTGCATACCAACCCCCCTACCCCCAACCCACCACACAAAAAAAAAACCAATTTATTTTTATTTTTTTGCTCTTTTGCCCTGGGTGAAATTTTGGCGGATTTTGCCAAATGAAAGTAGGGAGACTGAGGGGGCATCGAGAGGGGAGTCTACCAGTTGGACTATACATCTGGGCGGACCTAATGAGCACTTTCCAGCTTAACGTCGTCAAATCAGACAAAATAATTTAACCCAGGGTGGGTAGTAACTTGAAACAAACAATACTTGGGGGTTTTAAGCACAGCAACTAACCCAAAAGCAAAATGACTATGAATTTGTCATGTGAAAACCTTGGTAATATAACCATCATGTGCTCGCCAAGCAGAAATAATATTTCCACTCCTTGCATCAAGCAACCTACAATAGCCAGAACTAAGCCCGATAGCTATATATGATGGTGATGTCACAGCTCTTTCTTGAAATTTTCCAGAGCCACAGGAGCAAATGGCAGAAACAAGGGAGGCAAAAGAATATTCGGCTGCATTATTCTTCCATAGATGCAGTTTCTGATCGTGAACAACATCAATAAACCTGCATAGAGGATTTCAGAACACGTGACTAGCATTGTTATAGGGGTTGAATAAAAGTTTAATTGGGAATAGACTCCTTGTACTATCACCCAATTGCGGATAGACCCCCTGTAGTTCGATTGTTCCGGATAACCCCCCTTACTATCGTCCAATTGTGGATGGACCCCGAGTGAAGTTTTTTGACTCTTTAACCTTCAGGAAGACTATTTGTCAGAAAGACAGTTTTCTCCCTTGAGGGTAAAAGAGTCCAAAAACTTCAATCATAGGGGTCTACCTGCGACAATAGAACTCCAGGGGCCTATTTGCAATGGGGTGATAGTACAGGGGGTCAATCATAGGGGTCTACCTGAATAAATAAACCTTTTCTAAATTATGACATAATTATTAGAAAATGAATCTTTTAGTTTGTGATTTTTTTCAAAAAATCCAAAAAAATACCTCTTTAAATTATGAAAATAACCACCCATGCCAAACTTCAAATATTTTGTTTTTGAGGGACATGCCAAACTTTAAATATAGAACATCATTAATTTTTAAATGAAAGAAATGCATGAAGTAGGGATATTTTTGAAGCCTTAAATTCAGAAAAAAATGTGCAACTAATGCATGTTAGCCAACATATAAACAATCACCTGACTGAACCATTCCCCATGCCGGCTACAAGCTTTTCTTCATATTCTAAGTGATGCATGCAAGTGTACAAACTATCACTGAAAGCATTAGACAATATTCCTCCTGATAGAACATTCGGAGTTAGCATGTTGGGTTGATCTGCAGTCACTTTAGCTGCAAGTGGCAAACCATTATGCGCTAAATTAGCCGATGATTCAGCATATGCTGCTATTAGCTTTCCAGTTTGCCCATTCCATACATGAATATTCCCATCACAGGAAGCAACCCTTCCACTAGTAGACAGTATGCTGATAGCATTCACCACCTATAAAACACGCATCACAAAATATAAGAGATAATTCACTATACCCGTAAAGTGTGGCAATCAGATGAACCTGCTATCTCAAAGGAAGGAATAAAATTGAGCGATGAATGAGGAAAACCTTTTTACTCGTGAGAGGCTATAGAGTCAAAGAAAATAACAGAGAAATCTTCAGGAGGAATGAAAAAAGTTGATGTCTATGAACAGTCTTTATTAAGCTGAGCTCTGATAAGCTCATCTTAGACAAGGATGAGCATTTACCAAACTGAAGAATAAAAAGCAAAACACCAAAACGAGCATGAAGGTCGAGACAAGAAATCCTCAAATTGGAGGGCTGGTCATCATCAAACAACTGAACAAGCCATGAGAGCAAAACTCAAATTGACAGGCATGTGAAGGCTTTAGAAGCATTTCAAATGACTGAAAAAAAGAGACCATACATAATTTGTTCTTATTTAAAAGCGAGAAAAACAAAAATCGGACAAACGAAAAAAGAAAAAAAAGAAGACAACCATCACAGCAACAACGAAAGAAAATAAATCATCAAGAAAGAGGAACTGACCTCATCATGACCATAATAACCAGAAACACAGTTCATTCTAGCCAATTCCCACTTCTGCACACTTCCCTTGAACCCAGGACCAACTCCTCCCGTATAAACAGTACATTCATCGTGATAAACGGCTAAAGATCTCAGTGCTCCAGGATGTGCACGTGCAGAGTAAAGAATAGATGCCTTGATTTTCCATGGAAGTTCATCTTTTAGACCCCCACTACGCCCAAGAAAATCAAGCCCATCACACTTAGCATCAGGCAACCAAAACCAAGGTTCATGGTGTTCAAGGTTGGATTTTGTTGCGTGCTTATTAGATGAACTTCGTTGAATTTCAGTCACTTGCTTGGAATTTAATGAAGTAATCCCACCTTTACCTCCTTGTGATTGTGGTATGGACCAGCCAACTCCATTAAGCAACAGTTTAGCTGGATTATATTCTGAGGAAGAAGCTTTGCCAAAATAAAACCTTTGAACATTCATATTGTCTCCGCCAGTTTTAGATGATTCCCTTGTAGAATCCCACTGAAATAAAGAAGGAAAGATCATTATGAGTAGATGAATATTTAATAAACAAGATTTTTCTTCTCATCATTCACCACGAAAACACTTACCTTCCAGTTGTAAAATCTTTGAAGAATCTGCTCCAAAAGAAACCAAACAGAACAACATTGTCTTAGCTTCTCCATGCCAATGAGGGATTGAAAGGAAGGATACAGCAGTAACCTGCATCCAGCAGTATAGCTTCATAGAAGACAATAGAAGGGAACCAAGTTGCCAAAATTACATAAAAAAGAAAATTTGCTTCACATGTTAGACCACAACGGTAAATAAATTCGATAGTGTCCTCTATAGAAAATCATATAGGGGGAAACCGGATTTTGATATGCGCCGCCAGCATGAATCTTAAAGCTGATGGTAGATAACCATCCAAACTTTTTTTGCTGGGTCACGTGTAGCCTGTAGATATTTAGACCAAGACGTGCTAAGATCAGGTTTCACCCTATGTAATTTTCGATAGAGGACCCTCTAAAAGGATGCCTTTCCATTCAATTATACTTACACAAGGTCCAATCTGCTTTCAATTTGAACAGCTTCATCTGATTTAGCTTTAGAAACCTTTAAGTTTCTCCTACTAGAAGAGGGTCCATAAGCTGCATCTGGGGAAAAGGCTAACTCCTCAAACAGATCTTTGAGTTGTGGCATGACATGTGAAATGGTTAAATCTTGTCCAATCTTCTGACAAACAGCAACGAGAGAGGTTGCAGCAATCTGGTACAAGATATAAGAGCATGATTAAATAAGGAATATGCCTAATGGTCATATCAGTAGATTTTTCATCAAATCACATAATAATAAAAGGAGCTAGAGACAGGATATTGCCTGTGTGACAGCGAGATCCATATGCGACAGCATGAGAACCTTTACATAAAGGCAGATCTCCTCCTGTTAAATTTTAAATTATAGAAAAGGCAAGCAAAAGTTACTACAATAATCACTAAGGGGAACAAAGATACATTAGCAAAACCCATGCATACCCGAATAAGCTCTTTAAGGACTACCTCCACAGGCAAGATTGAAGCAAGCCCATCTAAAGTAGAAAAACTATCAATCAATGCCAAGGAAATCCAACTGTCATGGGGCTCAGACTTATTCAAACGGGAGGCATCAATACAAGAAAGAATGATATTCCTTATTAATGGAAGAAGCTGTCTGATGATAAATTTTTCTCCAAGAAGTCCACCTGGTAATCAAACGGACCCAAAACTGGTAAGGAATTTATACAATCATTAGAAATAACTAAAATATCACAATAAGGAAATTTCATATAAAAGAATAAAAACCACTACCAATTCTAACTAGAACATTGACTCCATCAGAAGATAGTCCTTTTCCAAAAGAATGGATTATTGGCAAGATTGTCTGGAAATGATTATGAATGTTAGCTAACATAAAAAATCTAAAGATATCTAGTCATGTGAAAACCTTTAGTACAGAAGTCACCTGGTGAATAGTGATGGGAATACCAAGCTCTTCACATGAACCAATAAGCACAACAGATGCAACCGAAGCGGATGTCCTGTTAGGTGAATTGCACAAATTTGCGATCACTAAAGGTTGAATCTTTTCCAGATATGCTTGTTTACCCACTCGGGTCCACAACTCCTGGACAAAGGAATCTTGAAGAAGAGAAACCTTCAGATGTGAACATTCTGACGCCTGTAATAGCCAACACAACGGGCAAATGGTCAAGCAAAGTATATCATGATCAAAATGCACATAATATGCAAGGAAAAAAAAGAGGCTAGTCAATTGTCATATAGATGTTCCGTAATGACCTGTAAAATCTTCTGGATGCTTGGCAAGATCAATGTTTTTATTCCTTGAGTATTCAAGCACTTCAAAAATTCTTTCAATATGCATAAGGCTGACTCAGCTTCAACATTTGACAAGGGTGACATGATAAGCGATAAACAAAATGGAGCACACATTTCAGCAGCGTATGTTCCCATTGCTCTTAGTGCACCAACACTAGCAAGCTTTGCAGCATACTTAATACGATGCCCAGCTTTAGCCAGAATTTGAAGTGGAGCAAGAAATAAATATGCACATCTTATGGTTGGAGGGAAGAACTGAGACTCTAGCAAAGATTTTGCAGAAGGCCTCCTAAGAATAACAATAATTAATAACGCAGTCGCATAATAGAACAGTAGATAAACTAAAGACCAGGAAAAAGAAAAAAAAGAAAATCCATATAATCCCCATGAGGAAAAAGAAGATGGAGGGTTGGAAAAAGTCTTTTAACTTCCTTAAGTTGGAGATGGGTTTTTTCAACATGACTGCAACTAAGCACAGCTTCAGTGCAATGCATATATTCACTCTCTAAGCGTCCAAATATCTTGCTCTTGTACATTGTTATGTGGAAGCAAGCTTTTCAAAAGAAAGAATAGTATGTCATACTATACCTCTTCCAGTCCTCCTGAATGGATGCTTCGACAAATATTGCCACATGAGGAGGAAGATCCTGCAAAATTCCAGGGAGAGTGCCACTTTCTCTATAAGCAGAAAATGTCACAGGATCAAAAAGTGGCCTCTTCAGATAAAGTTCACCTAAAATACACCCAATTGAAAATATATCTCCTGCAAGGTCTTCAGAACTAATTCCCGAAGAGGATGATTTCTGTCTCCAACGCAATAGTTCTTGAAAGCCCGCAAGGGTAGTATCATTCACATTAAAACACTCAAGGAGGCCTGAAAAGAGATCAGATGGAATTATGGAATTGCTGCCAGTTGATTCTAGGATCTCCCCTTTGGACACTTGCGAAGACTTTAAACAAGGAAAATTCTTAACAAAATTTTCATGATAATTGTAAACCGGGCATAGATAGCGTGCATGTTCACAAAATGAAATAGCTTCTTCTAAATGTTCCATATAGTGAGCATCTGGAAGAAGAATATCTCCATTACTCGTTTGCAAAGAACCATTACTATCTCGTCTCATGCTAGAGTTTAACTCGGTTTTATTATAATGAGATCGTTGAGTTACACCTCGGCGCATTGGATGAGGTCTAGTAAAAAGCTGCATGCGCCCGGCTGACCTTGGCATTGATGAATCAGATATGGGCAACATTACATTCTTTGCGGAAATAGATGCTTCACCTGAAAGCTTATAACCGAAAGTTATGTCAATCCAATGATGAATTTGTCGTGACACTCGGTCACTTTCTAAGGCATCTCGGTGCAAGGAAATAAATTCTTCAGGAGTCGCAGCCCAAGATGGGACCACCAAATCACTCATCTCAGAATGAAGAGAAAAGAAAATTTGAGGGTCACTATAAAACTCAGGAATGCACTCATCTGGAGTCCATTGGTAAAGCCTCTGCATATTTGATGGATATTCATTAGGTTCATATACAGAACGAACAGCTGAACGAAGTATTCTCAGAGGTAACCTTCTTGCTTTATAACTGCAGACAGCTAATTCGGAGAGACATTCATCAGAAACATGATGTGGAATCTCCGATGTTTGAAATGTAAAATCCAGTTGTTCGTCACCTTTTGCCAGCCGCCACTTACTCTTCTTGAGGTCTCTCCAGCCAGTATCAGAGTTTTCATCAGGCTTCACAGTAAAATCTATAACCCAAGGCATGGCTATATGAAATGTATGGTCACCCCACCTTCTGCCAGCTAATCTATTCAAAATAAGTAGGTATTCATAATTGCTAAGTTCACCCTTCCACCAATGAATAAAATCCGAATGCCAATCTATAGAAGCTGATAAATGCAAGTCAGCGTAAATAGAGTGACAAGGGCAACCATCCATACAGCAAAAAGCCCTAGTAGAAGAAAAGACTGGTTCTTTTAAACTTAAGTTGCCTCTTACAAGAAACATATCAGTAATGCTAAGCCAAGCCCAAGATGAATCATTCAGCAATATACTGGAAGGACATATGTTACCATGAGCAACTCCCAAACTGTGCATGTAAGTCAATGCAGACAGCAATTGGTATATTAAAAATCTGATGTGCCAATCGGACTTTAATGCTTCAGGGCTATAGTGCAGAATGTTTTGTAAGGTATAAGGGATTTTACAACCTAATAAATAATTACAGCCAGATGACTTTATGATACCCAAAACTGGAGCGATGTTAGGATGTCTAACACTACAAGGGGTATTGCTCTCACTGAATGATGGAAATCCAATTAAGCTTAAGAAGTTTGCACTGTACTGATCAGCAAAATTTTCTTGAGTGAAGAGATTTAGTGATGATATCACATGATCTTCAGTTAAGTCAGATAGGTATTTGCGAGCAAGATCCTTGATTGTCTCATCAGAAGCTGGTTTGACACAAGCAACTGGTGCCAGCGCAGCGATTATTTTTATATATGAGTTTCTTCCAATTTGAAGATCAATGGGATCTTCTGCACTACAATCTGATGAGCGTGGGCCTACCGAATCGTTAAGCACACCCAGATTAACTTCAGATTGATCTTCAGCCGGAAAGCTTATGTCTTCTTCACCACAATCATTGTATATACTGTCCTTTGAAGAGCTGCAGGTGCTGTAAGGTGAGTCAGGTGTAAGTTCGGGTTTTTAGATGTATATTACTTATATAACATAAGAAGTAAACCTGAGAGCTCTTACACATTTGTCTCAAGCACCTGTTATCGTGATCAACTAATCGCACTAGCAAAAACTGAGCAGAGACCTCTTCGCTGTGATTTTACAATGTAAGTTGCAACCATATGATTCAGATACAGAGGTAAACAAGATAAGAAAGATAAATGTAGTAGCATATCAAAAATGAAATAAGTGGAAGTGGAAATACAGTAGCTTACCTTTCTACATTGTCTGCTCCATCATTCGGGAAGATCTGCAAAGATAATCATTGTTACTAATGCCAATTGACATAAATCATTCATGATGCATACCTTTTGATCAATGAAGCAGGCATGGTGTATATTTACAAGCATCAAAAGAAAATATAGCACAGCAACTCAAAGTCAAAGAAAAGACCGGGACGGGCCAATACTATGAAAAAATGCATTGATTTTACGTATATTTCCAACATTTCAGATTTCTTGAGATGATACACTGTTGACATCATATTACTAGAATGTGTTAATACCATTAACTCCAAGCAAATCCATCAGACTTTTAAGATGTCAAGCCATAAGAAACTAATAGTCTCATGCTGAATTGAACTAGATGAAGCTGGTTTTGAAGCTTCCCATTTGCCGAGTCAAATTAGAGGACATCAAGGAACTTGAGATTTCCAAAATTTAGATTTCCCACATTTCAGATTTCTTGACATGATACACTGTTGACATAGCATATTACTATAAAGTGTTAATGCTATTAACTCCAAGCAATTCCATCAAACTTTTAAGATGTCAAACCATAAGAAACTAATAGTCTCATGCTGTATGGAACTGTGAAGCTTCCCATTTGCCAAGTCAAATTAGACATCAAGGAACTCGAGATTCAGACAATTATCTCCTTATCACAATAATTTGGGTCCTAAATGTTGTAACTACAGCTTAACAATAACATCTTTGTTTGGCCTTAAAAATCAACTTTAAGGCATGTACCCTGTTGTGCAGACATCAGCAGCTTCATTCCATGTTCTCTATTAACACCAAATTATATGCAAGATCCAAGCATCTTCTACTTACATATCTCAATCAATATCCACATAACAATAAAGATACGATCACTGTGAAACTGAACCCTACATGAGCACAAATCCAACCCCGCTCTCCTCCACGTGTACTGCTCACATTTGTTAAACAACTCATGCATCTCAATTCGGAGCTCCATCTACTAAATAAGCTCATTTCTTTCCCAATTTTGTATACACTTACCAATGCTGTACACTACAAAGTATTGGTTGGCTAATATTATTGCTTCTTGTACTCCTATCCATTCAATCTCCATTATACCCTAGATTACATCATACACGTTACACAAGTGGACGATGACAAACACGGTCTCCTAAAATATCACCTCAAAACAATCAAATTCTTAAGGTTAAATAAGCCCAATTCCCATTAAGAGGCCAATTAAGCTTCATAAAGTTAATTAACTTCCCAAGCTATTTTAAACCCATATAACAAAAGATAAAAAAGATCCAATATTTGGAGAGAGGAGAGATCTGAATGACAGAGGAAGAGCCAAACGAGAGAGGGGAATTGGTGATCCTGTAATGGAAGATGATATCGGCCGATATGTCAGAAGCTATGCGACACTGCAAGCACTGAAAGTAGGGCAAAGTCACTGCCATCATTGGGCTTGGAAAATTGAGGAAAATTAGGGTGGGCTTTCGAGTCGCGGGATTCAAAGGGGGTTGAAGAGATGTGTGCATATGTGTGCATATCAATACAGAGAGTTGAGTTTTGTTATGTTTGAGAGGGCAAATATGCAATATTAAAGATGTCTTTGCTTACAAAGAATAGGAGTTGTTAATTTATGGGGTAATAGGACTTAAATACACAGACTACTCACCTTTGCACTTATATATTTTATACCTTTTTTACATTATGTTTTTTTAAGTTAACATGTTACTACCTCCTATTAGTATTTGCATGGAAGCTCAAAATAGGCATTCTCCCAACCAAAGAACTTTTGAGAAGAGTTGTAGGCTTGTAGCGCATGAGTTATTTAGCTTCTGCTGCAGTGCAATTGAAACAAGTAAACATATGTTTCGAGATTGCTCATTTGCTATGTAGGTGTGGTTTTCCTCTCCCATGGGTTTTCAGATTGATCGTTTTGCAGGCCTCGACATGGAAGAGTGGTTATTACAGATGTAAAAGAATTTCAGATGACGAAATTTGTGAGAAACATTAGCAATCTGTTGAGCACTATGGAAAGGTCGAACGGTCTTTAAAAATGAAAAGTGCTCAACCGAGAAGGTTGTTGAGATGGTGAACACTATCAATTGCTTCAAATATTTCCAGGTGCTAAAGATTATGTGAAACATCCTAGTTCAGAAAATTGGAGAGCACCATCGACCGAGAGATGGAATAAACTCAATTGCAATAAAGCGATGTTCGAAGCTACTGCAGAATATGGCATATGGATGGTGGTCAGAAATAATAGAGGGGACGTTATGTTGGCACGGCTTATCTAGATGGGTGGTGGAGAAATCCTTTAATCACTAAAGAAATGAGTCTTCGATGGAAATTGACCATTGCTAAAGAAGCTAGTTTCTTGCTCCTATGAATTGAATCTGATTATGCTCAGCTAGTAGCAATGATGAAAAAGAGAGAAGCAATGAACTATATAATACATATCATTTTGAAGACATCATTTTCTAGCTACAAGGCTTACACGGGTGGAAAATCATGCATGCTTGTAGGAAAGGTAACTAAGTGGTGTAAAACTAGGTCAAATGGCAAAAAAATCTTAATGAGGTTATTGTATGGGTAGAGAAGGTACCAGCCAATATTTATCCTTTTGTGTTGAGGCATCTCTCTCTCATGTAATGTTGAATTTGTTCCCATCTTAATGAAAGTTTCTATTTGATCTAAAAAAAGTAAGTCGACAAACACGTCAAAGCAAGTAAGATGATTGGATGTGATTAGCTATATGGTTCCTTATTACAGTACCAATATAGTTAGTAACAGGACTCTTGATACAAACTCTAATTTTTCCTTGTTATGGTACCAATACAGTTACTAATCGGACTCTTAATAGACCAACTAAAATTTTAAAAGACAAAAAATCCAAAAGCACTCCCTAATCAAGACTAGTCCTAACTCCCAAAAAACGATGCTCCAATTTTCCTTTGTCCATCTCAACTC